GGAGGGGGCTCAGGAGAAAGGCAGCCCACCACATTTCTATTCATCTGTAGATTCCACCTTCAAAAGGTCCCGCCTCCTCCCTTCTTCCCCATTCTCTCTTGAAAGTCATGAGGCAAGGCCCCTTCTCATGCCTGGATAATTGCAATAGCACCTTAACTAGTCTCCATCTGCTCATCTCACCAAATGACTGGCAGACTCAATTTTCTAAAGTACCACTTCTAACATATCTGTCATTCATGGAAACTTCCAGGGCTCCATGTTGTCTCAGAGACAAAGCCTGAATTCCTCTGACTGGCACTTAAAGACACTTCATAAACTGGCCCCAGATTGTCCCAACTTAGCCCTTCACAACCTCCCACCTCCAGATCTGACTGGTCTCCTAACAGTACCCTCACCCCAGGCTGGGCTTTCCCACCTTTTTAAAGTTATTGGGACTTTTGCTGCCTGCCCCTCCAGGCACTGCTCAGTGGCTCTTCTTTTTTTTTTTTTTAACTATTCCACTATTAATAGAGAAATTGCCAGCAATATATCCAGGAATCACTTAAAAATATCATTAGGGACTTCCCACGTGGTGCAGTGGTTAAGAATCCACCTGCCAATGAAAGGGATACGGGTTCGATCCCTGGTCCACGAAGATCCCATGTGCCGCGGAGCAACTAAGCCCATGCGCCACAACTACCGAGCCTGCACTCTGCAACTACTGAGCCCACGTGCCGCAACTACTGACGCCCACGGGCTCTAGGGCCCACGTGCCACAACTACTGAGCCTGCATGCTGCAACTACTGAAGCTCACGTGCCTAGAGCCCGTGCTCCACAAAAAGAGAAGCCACCACAATGAGAAGACTACACACTGCAACAAAGAGTAGCCCCCAATCACCACAACTAGAGAAAGCCCACGCGCAGCAACAAAGACCCAACACGGCCAAAAATAAAAATAAAATAAAATAAAATAAATTTTTAAAAAATTAAAATAAAAAAATATCATTAACTTGTGAAGTCCACAATGATTTATAATGTACTTACACATACTTTGCTTCAGTAGATTCTCAAAACTGAGTAGCAAAATTATATTTTTCCCATTTTCAAATGTGGAAATTCAAGTTTTTAAGGGCCTAGCTGGCTCTGATTAAACATTCAGCAATACCACAGTATATATAACTAACAAAAATGTTGACGGAATGGATGAGATCTTCTGATGATTCTTTCTAATGTGCATTTAGAAAAAATTTTTTTTTTTCTTTATTTTTTGGCTGTGTTGGGTCTTCATTGCTGTGCGCGGGCTTCTCATTGCGGTGGCTTATCCTGTTGCAGAGCATGGGCTCTAGAGTGCAGGCTCAGTAGTTGTGGCACACGGGCTCAGTTGCTCCGCGGCATGTGGGATCTTCCTGAGCCAGAGCTCGAACCCGTGTCCCCTGCGTTGGCAGGCAGATTCTTAACCACTGTGCCACCAGGGAATTCCCTCTAATGTGCATTTCTTAATTGAAGTATAATTGATTTACAACATCATGTTAGTTTCAGGCATACAGCACAGTGATTCAGATATCTATCCATCTATCTATCTATATTCTTTTTCAAATTCTTTTCCCTCATAGGTTAATACAAAATATTGAGTATAATTCCTTGTGCTATACAGTAAGTCCTTGTTGTTATCTATTTTATATGTAGTAGTATCAGTGGCTCTTCTACGAAAGTACTTTTTTTTTTTCAAATTTTTTTTTTTTTTCTTTCTTTTTTTGCAGTACGCGGGCCTCTCACTGCTGTGGCCTCTCCCGTTGCGGAGCACAGGCTCCGGACGCGCAGGCTCAGCGGCCATGGCTCACGGGCCCAGCCGCTCCGCGGCATGTGGGATCTTCCCGGACCGGGGCACGAACCCGCGTCCCCTGCATCGGCAGGCGGACTCTCAACCACTGCGCCACCAGGGAAGCCCCCGAAAGTACTTTTTGATTCAGCAGGGCTGCTCCTGAAACACAAACAAAACTTTGTTGAAACTATGCAAGTACAGAAATAACACCCAAGATCTCCTACCCAATCACATTAACTATTTTAAATTCTCAGCTTCTTTCCAAGGTGTGTGTGTGTTTCTATTATATATATATATATACATATATATATATATATATATATATATATACATACAAAAATACATATATGGTATATATATAGGGCTGCTGTGGGTACATACAATATGTACATAATCTTATGTTCCAGCCATTAGAATTCCATATTTCTGCAATCTTAGATTTTATCATTTTTACGATGGCAGATGTTCCACTACTATCTATAAAAGGGAGAAAATAATATTGCCCGTCTTATGGGTTTACTATGAGAATTAAACAAGTTAAAACAGAGACACTCAAACTTGACCATGTTGCGGAATACACGGAAGGCTTATTAAAATAAAGCATCTTAGGCCTTGGCCTCAGAAATTCTGATTCAGTAGGACAGGGTGGGGGTGCCTGAATCTGCATTCCAGATGCTACTAGATCAAGTACCATACCATACTTTGAAAAACCACTGAATTTATACATGGAAAGTGTTCAGAATAATGCCTCGCATATAGTAAGCACTCAATAAATGGAGCTATTTGCTATTTCTGTGATAATATATGAAAATTTACTTGTTTGATATTTAGATTGCTTATAGTTTTATAACACTTTTATTGAGACAATTCATATACCATAAAATTCACCTTTTTACAGTGTACAATTCAGTCGTTTTTAGTATATTCAGAGTTGTGTAACCATCACCACTACCTAATTTTAGAACATTTTCATCACCTCAAAAAGAAACCCCCTTCCATTAACAATCACTCTCTAACCCCTTGTTTGCAGTTTTTTGAACTTATAATGTCTCTGTAAACATATATATATATATATATATATATATATATATATATATATATATATATGGCTTCTTTTCTTTTTTTGAAAGATTTTTGTCAGAATAAATTCCAAGAAATAGATTTCTGAGTCAATGATTATGAGTATTTTTACGTATAGCATGATGGTTAATTTTATGTGTAAACCTGACTGAGTCATGAAGTGCCCAGATAGTTGGTTAAATGTTATTTCTGTCCATGATTTCAAACTATATTACAAAACTATAGTAATCAAAACACTATCATATTGGCATAAAAACAAACACATAGATCAATGGGACAAAACAGAGAGCCTAGAAATAAACCCACACATGTATGGTCAATTAATTTACTACAGAGGAGCTAAGAATATGCAATTGGGAAAGAACAGTCTCTTCAATAAATGGTGTTGCAAAAACTGAACAGCTACATCCAAAAGAATGAAACTAGACCCCATCTTACACTATACACAAAATTAACTCAAAATGGATTAAAGACTTGAATGGAAGACCTGAAACCTTAAAACTCCTAGAAGAAAACATAGGCTGTAAGCTCCTTAACAGCAGTCTTGACAATGATTGTTTTTGGATCTGACAGCAAAAGCAAAGGCAACAAAACAAAAATAAACAAGTGGGACTACATCATGCTAAAAAGCTTCTGCACTGCAAAGGAAACCATCAACAAAATGAAAAGGCAACCCACGGAATGGGAGAAAATATATGCAAATCATATATCTGATAAGCAGTTGATATCCAAAATATATAAAGAACTCATACAACTTAAATAGCAAAAGAATTACCTGATTAAAAAATGGGCAGAGGATCTGAATAGGTCACAAATTTATGTTGAAATAGAAACTTTTCATAATACAAATCCTGATAAACGGTATAAAAACTATTGGTTAATGGACTGAGTAGGCTGTCAAGGCACACTGAGCTTCCATGCTGGGCCTGAAACAGCAAATAAATGCTTGAGGCAGAGGCATGAGGACTGGATACCTAGGCCCTGCCTTTTTCTTCCTGAATCCCTCAAAAGACTTAGAAACCAGGATTTTCCCACCCTGGTTGCCGAGATATGGGCGTTATTCCTTGTTTAATTCCAGAAGACCACTCCAAGTCAGGAAATCTGATTGCTAGTCCTAGCTCTGCTCGACAGTTGCAGGTAAAATTCAAGACCATCATTTCCCTCTGCAGTGCTTACTTCCCAAGGCAGACGATAGGAACAATTAATACCCACCCAACTGACTTCATCATACTGTGAGAGCAGGAGTGAGCTGACATACTTGCAAGTATTGGGGAAAGATGAGACAGAGCATAATGAAACACTATATATGCACAGGCTGGGTTTAAACCAAGTTCTGCAGGGGCCTGTGTGACGAGGGGCAAGTCACGTAAATCTGAACTTGCTTCATTTGTTAAACGTCCCTCCCTTCATGTCGCCTAACTTGTAGGAAGTGTTGGGGCTGCAGCTGGGGGCGTCTCTCCGCAGCGCCCCCAGGTGCGTACGAGGCGCGTGAGTGTCCTTACCGTCCGTGTCTAAACTGGCTCTGGGCTTCTCTGGCCCAACTCTCCTATTTATAGATGAAAAAAGCTCAGAGATCGAATGACTTTTCCACGATCACACAAGGGCCTTTGGGTCTGTGAGGAATCCAGCGCAGCCCGCGTTGGAACAGCAGCCAGCAATGGCGGCTTCATAACGTGGCCACCTTCTCAGAGAGATGTCGAGGCCCGTCACCTAGCGGCGGGTTCAGGCAATGCAAGAGAAGCCTCTTGAAAAAGACTCCGGGTACTGCGGCGTCCAGGAGCCAATATGTTCTCAGTTCGCTCAGTTAACTCCTTTTTTCCATTGGGTCTTTCTAACTGTCAATCAATCAGTTGCCGAGTTTTTACTGGCTTAGCTCCAATCATTCTACTCAATTTACTAATAACATGCTTCTTTCCAATAGCATCTTTACGTCGTTAAAGCTCCTCCTAAGTCTGACGAATTTAGCCAGTTCTTCTATTCCATTGGCTGGACCCGGCCCCTCCTCTCGTACATCCTGTTCGGGGCGGAAGTGAGAGAGCCCTTATTCCTATTGGCTTAGGTTTGCAAGCGGCGGCGGCCTCTCAAGTCTATAAAGACAACGTCAGCTCTCAGGAAGTACAGTTCCGGAAGGGGCGGGCTTTGTGGAGATGGCGGCGCCGGTGAGTGTAGTGTTTGCTTCTTCGGCTTGGTATTGTGGACGTTTGCTTTCTCCTCAGTGCCTCGAGGCAAATTATTGGGGCGAGGGAAGGGTGGTGATGGAAATAACTCCAGGGAGGCGCCCTCCCTGCCACAGCGGGGCAAAAGCAGTAGTAGGGAGACGTGGCTGGAGTTACCGCTCCTTTCCAGTGACCTGAGAGGCTGGCGGGCTCTGAGGCGAGGCTGCATGTGCACCGGAGTGGGAAGGCAGGAAGTCCGGGGTGTTTGAAGGAGAGAGGGGGCTTTTCCACCTCACATGTTCCGTCTTACAATCCTGAGGAAAGAATGTTTTTTCTTTTCTCTCCCTTCCATAGGAGGTGCTGGAGTCAGACCTGCCAAATGCCGTAGCACTTTTGAAAAACCTCCAGGAGCAGGTGGGTAATGGCACGCCTTTGGAATAGATTAGTCACGAATCGGCTTTGACTTTGTTTGCCGCACCTCTAAACTTTGGTGATTTGGGGGCACATATTTGAATGACTAGATAACAGTAAGAGCAAAATGATATAATGAAAACCTTTCCAGGCTACAATTCAGAGTAATTGATTTCTGCGTCCAAAGGGATACAGAAAGCTCCAGAAAGAAAGCATCTGAATCAATTTTCTTTATTCTCACAGCTAAGGAAACCGATGCCGAAAACGGTGACACGATTTGCCCTTTGGGTGCCTAGCTCATATACGTTTATATAGTTCTGTGCATTGCAAGTTCAACCGGTACAAAGCTACAATGCACCCATCACCACTGTCCCAGCCCCCAGCCCCTCCCCCTGGTTTGGTAAGATGGTCTCTTTAGCTTTAAGAAGAGGTGGAAAGGTTTTTCTACCTTTTGAAGAAGTAGCAGAAACCATCTCTCCTATACTTTCTCAGAACTGAAAAGATAGTCGTGTACTTTAGGCAGTGTTTCAGATAATTTTTAGGTGGCATTGTTTAGCTTTTGCACTTCACAGCTCACAGAGATAACTTGATGTATTCTAATCAGTGGTTTTATTTGGATTAATTTCAGGTGATGGCTGTCACTGCACAGGTGCAAGCTCTGACCAAAAAAGTTCAAGCTAAAGCCTATCCTACAGAGAAGGTAGGACATAACTGAAGAGTAAGCACCCCTTGACTTGATGTTCTCAACAATTCTTTCCATCGTAGAATTATTGAGTGTCTTGTATGTGCTTAGTGCTGGAGCTTTGAAGATGAATAAGATCCAGTTTCTGTGCTGAAGTCTAGTAGAGAAGGCAGGTGAAAGCAATAGGTATAAGCAGTAGCAGTCATGATGAGCGGCTGTGCGAGCTGAGGAGCAAGATTATATATCATGGAGCAGAGGGAATTAGCAGGGGCATCTCAGAGAGGTAACAGGATTGTGAGGAATAAATAGGAGTCAGAGGGATAGAAAGCAACAGCATGTGCAAAGGCACAAAGACCTAAAAGCATGGTGATATTCTGGGAAAGGAGGTAAGTCACGTATTGTGCTTGGGTGTACATTTTGTGTGTGTGTTGGGGTCAGAAAAGTAGTCACTCTGTGTGAAGAGCCTTGTGGGCCAACTGTATTTCATTTAATATAAAATGCTGTTAATTGGGGACATATCACTGACTTACATTGAGCATACAATGTTGCTTGTTAATCTATGACATAATGCTAAGATACCATTGATTTAAAGCTGTATCTTGACTTCAGAGATGTTAAAATATAAAAATGATGTGTATCTTAAAATTAAATATGGTAGTTTTCAAATTAAGGTCTTATAGAACCTTCTCAGGGACCACTGAGTGTGGGGCAGTATAGAAGGAGGTCTCTGGGGACTTCCCTGGTGGTCCAGTGGTTAAGACTTCGCCTTCCGATGCACGGGGTGTGTGTTCAATCCCTGGTCAGGGAGCTAAGGTCCCACGTGCCTCGCGGCCAAAAAACCAAAACATAAAACAGAAGTTTATTGTAACAAATTCAATAAAGACTTTAAAAATGGATCACTTCCAAAAAAATCATTAAAAAAAAAAAAATGGTGTCTGGATCCCTCTTACCTGCTTGAGCTGGAAAACTTGGGTGTTACCTGTTTTGTGTATTGAGCTTTCGTCCTAAGATATCATTTAAGCAAAACATTCCATAGGTTAACAGAAATATGCAAATCATTATAGTAGGTTAATAAAAATCATTGAAGGATTTTTAAGCATGAGATTTACAGCGGATTGTGTTTTAAAAGGACAGCTAAACAAATTTTTTAAAATTTTTTAATTTATTTTTGGCTGCGTTGGGTCTTCATTGTTGCATGCGGGCTTTCTCTAATTGGGGCAAGCGGGGGCTACTCTTCATTGTGGTGCGCGGGCTTCTCACTGCGGTGGCTTCTCTTGTTGCCGAGCACGGGCTCTAGAGCACGTGGGCTTCGGTAGTTGTGGCATGCAGGCTCAGTAGTTGTGGCGCACAGGCTTATTTGCTCCGCGGCATGTGGGATCTTCCTGGACGTGGGATCGAACCCATGTCCCCCCTGCATTGGCAGGCAGATTCTTAACCACTGAGCCACCAGGGAAGTCCCTGAATTTTTAATGTATCTTTTTGCCTTTTATTTCTCATCATTCATTTTCGTTCTCATTTCTCATTTTTTAATCTTTGCTTTTTATTTTGTCTTTCTCTCATACACTTGTAACCCATTAGAACTTGACAATGCCCAAGCATGTCAGAAGAGCCTATTTCTCAAATTCTTGGCTGTCTTTATTCTGGTATCATGCTTTGATCCATTTTAGTGCCTTTTTGAGATGGGCTGTGCACATGTATCTTAGATCACTATATATTTGTTCACTGAACAGATATTTATTAACCTTCAGGATCAAAGACTTCTAGTAGGTGCTTTTTAGGCTACAAAGTACTTTCATATCTTATTTGAGCCTCATAATGACTTTTGGGGGTGGGAAGGAATTACTGTACATATTATAGATGAGGAGACAGAGGTCATGATTTACCCAATATTTGACTGCTAAATGCCTAATTCAAAACTTGAACTCAATTTGTCTGTCTTTAAATCCTTTGCTCATTCTCCTGTAGCATGCTAGTGTTGATCTCAAGAGCTTAGCATGTTGGTTTACAGATACCTAGGGCTTGGGTGTTGGAGTCAGGCTGAGTTTGAATCCCAGCTGTACTCCTATTACTATATAATCCTAGGCAGAGTATTTAATCTGTCTGAAATAGGTCTTCCGAGGGCTGTGGACTTTTTCATTTTCGTTTCATGCAGTCACGGTGACTTTTTAAACATAACTATAGCTTAGGTCTGCTTACACACGTTACTTTTTTTATTTAAAAGAATGCACTTATAATTTATGATTTTCTGCCTGTAAGTATAATACATTTTTTAAAAAATTTTATTTATTTTTTGGCTGCATTGGGTCTTTGTTGCTTTGTGCAGGCTTTCTCTAGTTGCGGCGAGCGGGGGCTACTCTTCATTGCGGTGCGAGGGCTTTTCATTGCAGTGGCTTCTCGTTGCAGAGCACAGGCTCTAGGTGCACAGGCTTCAGTAGTTGTGGCACATGGGCTTCAGTAGTTGTGGCTCGCGGGCTCTAGAGTGCAGGCTCAGTAGTTGTGGCGCACGGACTTAGTTGCTCCGCAGCATGTGGGATCTTCCCAGACTAGGGCTCGAAGCTGTGTCCCCTGCATTGGCAGGCAGATTCTTAACCACTGCTCCACCAGGGAAGCCCCAATACACTTTTAATTTTAGAAAGTTTAGGAGATACATAAAATCACAAAGAAAAGAATTAAAAATCAGTGTAATCACCATTCTGAGATAATCACTGGGGTACATTTTTTATTTCGTTGATTGTAAAAGTAATATGTGCTTGATGGGAAACCACTTTTTCAGTACAAGCACTCCATTTCTTGCTTTTCCTCATCTCGGTCCTCAGGGGTAGCAGTTGCTAATTATGTTATTTTCAGATATTTTTCTATACATGTAAAATGTGTGTATTATACTTCTCACCTCCCCCCCCCTTAATTGGAACCACATTATTCACACTTTCTATACAGTGTAGAAAGTGTGTCGACATACATAAGTCCATGTCAGTATGTACAGGTCATTGTTTTTACCCATATCATATAATTCCATTGTATGGGGATAAAATCAGTGATTGTTTTGGTTAAATTAATTTAAAATTCATTACTGTATGGAGACATTTCTGATTGTCATAACTTGGGGGATGGCATCAATGGGTGGAGGCCAGGGATGCTGTGGAACATCCTTCAGTGCCCAGACAGTGCTCCACAGCAAAGAATTACCTGTCCCCCAAATGTCAATAGCTCTGAGTTTGAGAAACCTTGCTATAGTCATTTTGGGGGATACTTTATTGATTTTACTGCTCTTATTGTCATACAGTAATTCTCTAAGCTGTACTTCTGTTGTGTTAGCATAATTTGCTCTGTGGCCATTTTAGGTACAGCCACTTCCTTGAGACTACTCCAGATACCTTATATGAACTGCATGGAAAAAAATTTGAACTTGGAAAAAATTATCCTGTTCTCCCTAGACTCTCCTCCTTATTCTGTGGTTAAAACTGAATTTGCATCTCTTACTGTTTGATTCAACTCAGGGTCTCAGCCTTTTGGAAGTGAAAGATCAGCTGTTGTTAATGTACCTTATGGATCTGAGCCATCTCATTCTGGACAAAGCCTCAGGAGGGTCTCTTCAGGGACATCCTGCAGTTTTGAGACTGGTGGAGATTCGCACGGTATGAGGCATTTGTCATCTTAGAGTTCTGCGTTTCTGTATCCTGAACTCCAGGACTGTGACACAATAGCTCTCATTTAAGTGGGTGTTCTCATGTGTAAGGGAGGAAACCAAATGAAAAAAAGCATTTTTGTCTTCATTTGCTCTACTTTCTGCATATTTTAGGTGTTTTATCTGGCATCTTAACATAGGGACTTCTGGTGTATGCTTAATTTTGAGGAGGACATGTAATCCTATTTAACCACATTATAGGTTTTGGAAAAGCTTCGTCCTTTGGACCAAAAACTGAAGTATCAAATTGACAAACTGGTGAAGACGGCAGTGACAGGCAGCCTCAGTAAGTGGGGGAAGCTGTAAGGTTATGTGTGGGCCATTCACAAAGTTCCAGATCTTGTAAAATCTCTTGGGTCTTTTATTTTAGGTGAGAGTGACCCACTCCGTTTTAAGCCTCATCCCAGCAATATGACGAGCAAGGTAAGAGGTAGCATTATCCTGATTTTCCTGAGGAATCTAAGCCTGAAATGAGCCTTGTAATGCTCCTGGATCTCCTGGGATTCTCTTTATTACCGTTGATTCCCAGCTTGTGCCTTAGAATGTTGAATGTGAGATTCCCCTTTCTCCCTCTTGTTTGTATTCCCACCTTCCCAGAGTACTCCAGCTTTGGATTTTCTTATCGCTTGTTTGACTAATGCTTCCTAAGTTTGTGGACATTATGTTCCTTTTGTAGTTGAGCTCTGAGGATGAGGTGGAAGATGAAGCAGAGGAAGGCCAGTCTGGGGCTTCAGGGAAGAAATCTGGAAAAGGGACAGCTAAGAAATACGTTCCACCACGCTTGGTTCCAGTGCATTATGGTATGAACTGTGGAGGCTGCTTCCTCAGCATGAATTGTGTTTCTCTTCTCTGTTCTGGGATAACCCTTGCTGATTTTTATCACATAGATGAAACAGAAGCTGAGCGGGAGAAGAAGCGCCTAGAACGAGCCAAGAGACGGGCATTGAGCAGCTCTGTCATTCGTGAACTAAAGGAGCAGTACTCAGATGCTCCAGAGGAAATCCGTGATGCTCGGCATCCTCATGTTACTCGACAGAGCCAGGAGGATCAGCACAGGTCCGAGTCCTTGCAGTTAGAAATTGTTTTCTATGCTGTAGAGACCTGTCCTTTGAATGACGATGATTAAGTCTAATTGCAAGAGAACCCACATTATCTAGAAAGTGGAGTGCAAAATTTGGTGTGACGGTTTCTAAGAGTTAGGGGTTTGAAGTACAGAATAGGAACTAGCGGGGGAAATGTCTTTTTTTTCCCCCCAGCTGTTCAGGCTGAGCAAGTGCTACATGGAGAAGAATATATGCAGTTCCACCTAGTAGGATTTTCAAGTTCTGTGTTTCACTATCACTGCTGTTTATTTTCTGCAGAAAGCAAGAAAGTCACGTTTTTATAATGGCATGGAGAGTGCTAGATAAGTTCAGGGAAGAAAAGTAGAAAAGCAGTTATAAGTTGAACACAGGCTCATCAACTTTGCCCAGGTGTCCATCTCTGCAGTTGATAGATTTGAGTGAGAAGGTTCACGTAGAGGATCCTGTTTATGGAGCTGGAATAGAAAGAATTTCCTGATATAGTTTAAGTATTCCTGTGGATGGGCTGTGAGTTCATCTCTGGGGAGGAGGGAAGTTCTAGTGCAAAGAACATTTCATTGAGCATTGAGTGTTGAGCACACAGTATCACCTCACTAAATACTATAGTGACTTGCTATGAAATTTCTTGAGAACTGTCTGAGCATGGGGTGAGTAAACACCTGGGCCCAGGTTCTTGGCTGCAACTTTCTGCCTCTATGGTCTAAGCATGCTGCAAGTGGCGTCTGTGTTTCTCTGGCAGGATTAACTATGAGGAGAGCATGATGGTGCGTTTAAGTGTCAGTAAGCGGGAGAAAGGACGGCGAAAACGAGCAAATGTCATGAGCTCACAAATTCATTCCCTCACGCACTTCAGTGACATCAGTGCTTTGACAGGAGGAACCCCTCATCTTGATGAGGTGAGGTAGTGATACAGTGATGGGAGGTGACCTTTATGCTTTCAGCTAAATGTATGTGGGCTTATTACCGGGAGGGACACTAAACTTGGAAGCTCACCGCCATTCCTTCCTTTCTCCATGTGTCTCCAGGATCAGAATTCTACTAAGAAGCGGAAGAAGATACCTAAGAAAGGTCAGAAGAAAAAAGGTTAGTGAATGACTAGGACTTGGGTGATCAAGTGCAGGATGGGGTTTACGAATTGGGATGCCAACTCCAGATTTGCCATGCTAGGTTTTATCAACCTTTATAGTATCTCTTCCATACTGGGTGTTAATCTCTTTAGAGGTGGGCATTTATTTTTTTCTTTCCCAAGATGAAAATCAGCATCATTCACAAAAGAGATTTCTGGATTCTATTTCTGAAGGCCCCACAGCCCCTGTTCAGATTTCCTTAAGTAAACTATGAAAGTGTCACTTGAAGGAACCATTATCCCATTTCAGTTTCCATCCTGCTTCTAGTCTTTTGTCCTGGGAGGATATAGAGAGTATTGCTGAGGGAACCCACTCCTATCGAGCCCTTCTCTCTAGATGTCCTTTTTTCTGTCCCTTTGGCTTTTCCCAACTGTCCTTTGCCTCATTCTTGGTTTCCCTTCCTTTCAGGTTTTCGGAGGCGGCGGTGATTATGGGTGTACATATTTAATTTATTTTTTGTCATCCTGGGATACTTCTAATTTCACTGTATGTAGGTTTTTTCCTCGGAATTCATTAATTATTTGCTCTGGACATGTGGAAAGATCTTTATTAATAAAATTGATTTTACTTACGAATTGAAGCCCCTTTTGCACATGTATTATATGACTGGAATCACTGGGTATGGGGTATTTTTGGTGATAGGGTGATGGAAAAGGGAAGGGTGAGGTTTTGGGGGGAATAAGAAAGTTTGGCTTTATATGGTTTTCTTTGATAATACATTTTCACCAGAAACTAGAAATTGGTTATTTAATCAAAAAATATTGAGACATTAGAGTAGTATAATCCACTCTTTCAACCCCACGTTGCCCCAAGTTCCTGTATGATTTGTTATAATACAGATCATCTGAAATCTATGGATTTTAAGATTTATTAATATATCTTGCTGGCCACCAGGTGGCATTAGTGGCTTAGGAAACCTCCTTTGGTGCTTGACTATAATCAAAAGCTAGATAGAACCCTTTCTTATTACCAAGAGTTATTCTTGTCTCCACTTCTCTGAAAGTTTTTCGTTTCTTTCTAAAATAGCATAGACGTAGGGCTGATCTTAGGTCAGTTATTGAGAGTTAGAGTTTATCTGGAGAGAACAGTAGACTGAATGAGAGGAGTGTGAAGAATCAGTATAGTCTTGTGTTTTTCAGCCTCTTTGACCCTCTTTCAGCAAAGTCTTCAGTTTACCAGTGAGCAAATGCCAGCCCTTTTACAAAGAGCTTGTGAAAGAATGCCAACAAGCAGGCAGATAGAAAATACCTAAAGACCAAGAGAATGAAAACCCCTCAGTCATATCAGCCCAGGTCAGGAGACTGGTGGGAGTTACAGATCTGAGATCTTGTATTCTGTTCAGAGAATGACTTCTGTTAGTGAGAGATCCCTCTGGCCTTGGATAATTTAGAAGGTGGAAAGAGGGACGGGAAGAGAGTTGAGTCTAGAAGTAATTCATTGGAGTTAATGATGTGTCACGGAGAAGGATATAATTTGGATCATTACATCAGTAAAACCTAGTTGATTATAAGTCCTATGAATTTGGACTTATACTGGTCTGCCCATTTGGGGTGGGGGATCTGTTTTCAGTCAGCTGTAGCTTGGTAGAAAGTAGTTAAGAGAGACAACCCAGTACTGTCTTCTGTTAACTCTGTGATCCTGGGCAAATCATGTGACATCTCTGGCCTTTAATTTTCCTCAGCTGAAAAATAAATGTATTAGACTGAATCTCTGAGATTTCCTCCAAACCAGAGAGCCTAGAGCTGTTTCTCATGGATGATAACCAAGATGCGCTTACTTCTGGGGCATCTGACTTAGTCCCTGGCAGATCTGAGTGACCCTGATGTGCCCAGAGCCCTCATACTTCCATCTCCTGGAGTGAATCTAAGCAAAGAGCCTCAAGAACATATTTAGAGATTCCTTTTCCTTTCTGGCTGAACTAACTGGACAAGAGGTTAGGACTACTACATTCTCTTTTTAGGACTAGCTATTGCATTTGCATCTAATTTATTAAGGATTTTTGGATTGTGGGAACTGCCAAGGAAAAGGAGATGCTCTTTTTTTAAAAAAAAAGATCTTAACTTTGTGTTACATCCTGAGCTAAGTGCTTTGTACTTAATCCTTGCAAAATATATGTTATCTCTATTTTACTAATGAGGAAACTGAGAAACTTAGGTTATTTATTTGCCCAAGGTTATACAACTAATGAGTTAGAGAACCAGTGCTTGGGGAACACAGAGGATGGAGGACTGCCAAGCGTCCTGGGGTTCATGAACATCTTCAGGATTTTGTTCTTCTTTTTTTTTCTTTAAAAATGTATTGGTAGGTAGTTTATGACCTGTAGCTCTCCCCTCTTTACTGTACCGTTTCTGTTCAAGCCCTTGCCTTCAAAGAAACCACAAGTTCCAGACACTATTCTGGCCTTTTTGTATTATAGGAGTGAACTGAACAGACAAAAATCCCTGCCTTTGTGGACCTTATATTAATTGAATCCAGTCTTTAATCTTAGGAAATCTTGTTATCCCTGGCCTTCTAGATGACAGGCGATATTTGAAAGAGGTTTCCAACAAAAAATTGAGTAATTTTGAGAATATTTGCACCAGAGTCATCAAACAATGTTTCGAGTCCATTGTTGACAAAGTTTTGTGTGGATTCTCAACCTGTAAAACAGGCAAAGGCTAGGTTGCTGTGGTTGAAGCAAGGATGAAGGGTCCTGGAGCGTCGAGTTCTCATGGCCCACTTTCCCCAGGATTTCTGAGGAGCTCTTAGGAACCTTTAGAACTCCAGAGAATGTAGTTTAAAAATCACTTTTACAGGGCTTCCCTGGTGGCGCAGTGGTTGAGAGTCCGCCTGCCGATGCAGGGGACACGGATTCGTGCCCTGGTCCGGGAAGATCCCACATGCCGCGGAGCGGCTGCGCCCATGAGCTGTGGCCGCTGAGCCTGCGCGTCCGGAGCCTGCTGCTCCGCAACGGGAGAGGCCACAACAGTGAGAGGCCCGTGTACCGCAAAAAAAAAAAAAAAAAATCACTTTTACAGTAGTAGGGCAGGGCAACTGAGAAGATTTCAGGGTTTCTTTATGGCTGTCGTTTGCTATTCTTTCTCTTATTCCTACTCAGATTTAGTTCTCTGGTTGTTCAGACCACATGAATGTCAGATTTCATCAGTGCAGCACTAACAGCAGATCACTTCCAACGTTCACTAAGTAATGTATATCGTTAGTGCTCGTGGGCACTTGTTCAGTTTTATCATGTGATGGTAAGGAGAGTCTTAGGATTTATTATAACCTGTTTTAATTAATTAATTAATTAATCTTATTTATTTATTTATTTATTTATGGCTGTGTTGGGTCTTCGTTGCTGTGCGCGGGCTTTCTCTAGTTGTGGTGAGCCGGGGCTACTCTTCCTTGCGGTGGGTGGGCTTCTCATTGCGGTGGCTTCTCTTCTTGTGGAGCACTGGCTCTAGGCGCCTGGGCTTCAGTAGTTGTGGCTCACGGGCTCTAGAGGGCAGGCTCAGTAGTTGTGGCGCACAGGCTTAGTTGCTCTGTGGCATGTGGGATCTTCCCGGACCAGGGCTCGAACCCGTGTACCCTGCATTGGCAGGTGGATTCTTAACCACTGCGCCACCAGGGAAGCCCTGTTTTAATTTATTTAATCTGTCATTATTAAAAATGTGAAGGATCCTTCCTCCCTGGAAGTACAACAAATACCACTGATCACATTTCTCTCTCCCCTCCATCTGCAGAGCTTTTTGCATTCTCTCTGTCATTCTTTCTACCTCATCCCCCCACCCCCCAGGTCTGTTTGACTGGTGGGGGAACCCTTGCCTTTCCTTCTCAGAGCTTGGTGGTTCCCTGGGGGTTTCTAATGATGGTTGGGAGTTGCGAGGAAGCAGCTGAGTAAGGGGCATCCACTGCCCCAGGGAGGGAGCTATACTCCAGCATCCAGTGGGGAAAGGAAATCACTTGGAAATAAAGAGAAAATCTTTTCTCCAGTACTGATAAGCCTTAGTATTGTCATCTGAGGGGGTGGGAAGAGGGTTTGATTAAGGCCTTTTTTGTCTCTGAAGCTTTGTTTTGTTATGATTTTATGAAGGCTTGGGCAACTGTCTGTCAGGAGTTCACAGCAGTCTTCATGGCTACTGTACTAGAAAAACATGTTTATGAGGGAAGGATGACTCAATGATGTCCATTTTCAGCACCATGGAGAGTTCAAGCTTTCTCATCTTGTTCCTTGCCTTGGGTTGGTGGAAGGTACAGAGCTAAACCAATCCATAGAGCTGCCTGGTGTAGACCTGCCCTTACGCATAGCGCAGTTTATCTGTCCCATCTCCATTTCTGATTGGTACGGATTGAGTGTGAGTCAGCAGCAGTCCTGAGTATCCCCATCCTCCCTGGGGTCTATTAGGTGTGTAAACCTCAGATTCATGTTGAGACTTATCCAAGGATTTGGCTAATTTGACAGAGGCATATCAATGAAATACTGCCTTCCGCTCTATTGGTAACATCATTCATATTGTGATGCACGAGGTTTTTAACAGCCCATGAGAAAAACTCTGTCCGTCCCCCGCTCTTCTTTGCCTTCAGACCCTTGAGGAGACTGAAAGTTGCTTTTTCATTCCTTGGGCTTGGCCCCTTTTTCTGCCTCTGCATGGAGAAAGGCATCATTGATCTGGCTCTCTGCCCAGTCTTTCTTTTGTATTTCTTTGATCTCATTGTTCAGAGGGTCTCAGAGAAGCCCCAAGAGCCATGCCTTTGCATGTTTAAGCTATTGATGCTTTTGAAATAACAGAGCGTTGCTGTGTAGGAAGCGTATTAAAGGTCTGTCTCAAACAAATTTGGGTCAATAGGTGGCAGTAGTCACCTAGTCCCGAGGCCCTGACACCCCCTGAGTACAAGCACATTTAATGGCCGTTATATTTAAGGTTGTGAGAAAGGAGGTCACATTGAAATAAAAATGGGGGAAAAGCAGTCCCTTTTGGTGGGATCCGGGAAATGCTGAGCTGTGCTGTGTTACTTCTGTGGAGGTGTTGTATGTCAGCTGTGAAGGGCACTGGCAGGAAAGAGCGGGGCCTCAGATTGAGTGAGACCTAGGTGGGTACCAGGGCTTCTGAGAGCTGGAGTGAGACTGTGTTAAATGAGGACCTGTGCTGAAAGGATAGAGTCTACGGTTGGGGGAGTAGAGAGAGGGAGAGAGGTGGAGGAGGGAGGGGCAGGGCTGTGTGAAGGGACCACGGAAAGGGTGGGCTCTGATGGGGAGGACTGCAGTTAGAGGGGGAGGGGTAGGCTGCTGCACTACTGAGCCTATCTGATGGGGGAAGGGGCCAGGGAGATATTGGTCTGTGCTGAGCTGCATTGGCTCCCCTCCCCCACACTTCCCAAGGAGCCAGAGCAATGCTGGCAAATCTGTCTTCATGTATTTATTATTATTAAAAATGTGAAGGATCCTTCCTCCCAGGAAGCACAACAAATACCACTGATCACATTTCTCTCTCCCCTCCATCTGCAGAGCTTTTGCATTCTCTCTCTCTCCTTCCCACCCTACCCCCCGCGCCCACCCCCCAGGTCTGTTTGGTGTGGGGGACCCTTCCCTTT